AATTATTTAATATTTGAATATTTGTTTTAATATTTTAGAATATCATTCACGTTTTTAATTGAAGTAATATTTTTATAAAAAAATTCTAAAGTTGTAATGTTTTCACCATGTTGAGTGAGACATTCTTTTCTTTTTTTTACGCCTGCTAAGGCGAGGAAGAAAACCTTTATTAGAGAGAGAACAGTTTCAAGAATATGCGACCATATACTGTTATGAAAGGGAAAAAAAAAGCATTCCAAATTAGTATGACTTACACCAGATCATGAATGGACGGCAGATTAAAAATAGGATTTGGTCTTTTCTCTGAGTTTAATCTTCGACTGTCTCTCCATGCTTAATTTAGAGATGTAGATCTGTCGTGAGAAAAAGCATTGAAACAGAATCCCAATGAGACTTTTTTGCTTAATTTCTCTGTATCAATCATCTTAACCTTTAGGGTAGCACTGAGGTTCACGTACTTGAGTAAACGTTCGTCTAACGTTGATGAACAACAAAGAATCTTGTAGAAAATGTTTGCGATTCTATTCCAAATGAAGTCAGATTTTACGGAAACCTGTCTAATGTTGCAACAGGCCTATAACGTGGATTGCCTGATGACCGTATTTTAAAAAGGAAAACAGACAAGACGGCTGATATCATCTCCCACTGATACGACCGATCATCACATTGAGAAAGAGCGTGCTAAGATACTTTGTAATCATTGCCTGGCTATCCGTGAAGTCTGCTAGAAATGTGATGTGGAAGTCATTGCTTGACTACACGTGAAGAGATAGGAATCTGTTAACTTTCCTGAAACGAGATATTAACCCTTCATTAGTACAGGGCACTGTTTGAGTACAGTTTTTCTTCTATATGCTGTGTCCTTTGAGGACGTTGGAGATTAGGGTCGTCTACAACTTCAGATCAAGATTTTCATATGAATGTTCGTTCAGAAAAATCTAAACACTCTGTTGTATGCAACCGATTTCTAAGATCAATGGTTAAAACTGCCTTTGAGCGAGTGAATCCCGTGTGTCCTGATGAAGAGTATCCTTTTTCGAAGATTGTGTCTCGGCGTTACAGCATCATGAACAAAAAATTGTGCCGTATGACATAAACCACATCACTTGTGGAAATTCAAGAGCAGCAACAAATAAAATGGGTTGAAACTCGACTCTCCGATTAAAATTTTCGAGCCATTATCCATGACAGCAACAGTACAACCAGCAGGGAGTATTCCTAAACGGTCACCCAGCTAGGTACTGACAAGGCTCGACGTTGCTTAACTTCGGTCATCGTACACAAGAGCAAATGTACTCTATAGTTTTACTTAGAGTTTTTAAGGTGATTTTGAGAAGTGCACTGGAAGGAAAGAGGATTGAAGCATGGCGAAAACAATACCTGATTTCTTAAACCTGATAAGGCACTTGATCGCAAGGTTTTCCATAATGATATTTGGTGAAGCATACGACAAACATTGTTTCCAAACCATATGAGGGATGCTGGGAATTTTTTAATTTAATTTTCTTTTTTTACTCTAGGCGATTTCATTTAGATTCTTTATCTTTCTATCACTTTTGTTATTAGATATCCTACACTGTTATAATAGAAGTTCTGCTAGTAATGTGAAATGTTGTAAGAGCCCAGAGCGCAAATTTACTATAAATGACCGTGCGGACATCGACGAAAATATCTGGAGAAGTGTGCGCTTTGATCGCAATATGAGCCAAAGTAAATTTGATTCATGGCTCTTACAACTTTTATTATCACACAGTAAGATAGAACAAAAGTGAGAGAAACAAAAAGTAGTCGCATTAACATAACGAATTTAGACAACACTTTTTTCACATTGTCATGCATTTTCTCAGTAATTTTTTTTATATATATATATGGCGTTAATAAACGCACACATACATATACATATGTGAAAAATAAAATTATATATATATATATATATATATATATATATATATATATATATATATATATATAAATCCCCAAGAGAATAGAATCCAGGTAGAAGGACAGAGTAAGAATATAATATAAAAGGCTCAAACACTAATATTCCATGGTTATAATTTATTACATTGGAATCGTAATCACGATCCAATTCATCGGACCTACAAATTCCAAAAGAAATCGGAAAATATATTATATTAGCAGCAGGGCCGGCATTGCCCGTGCTTGATTCAAAAATCGTACGACTCATACAGCAATCGCTATCACTTGACTTAAAATATTTTTGCTCTTCCTTGCCTTTAAAGGAGTACCCTTTGCTGTGCTGATGTTGCTACATGCCTTACTTCTTGCCTATCTCACACTGCGAATTTTTTCTAAGCTCTATACTAAACATTAAATCTGTTACGAAAAAAGAACTAAACAAAATGAACACAAAACGATCAGCTTTAAAAAAGGACTCGTAACTGGAAAAACCGAATGAAAAAAGAATGTTAACAACAAATACTTTTTCACACCCAACCCAGTTCTGCGGAATCACAATCAACGTTGAGTTTAAGCAAGCGAATGAGCCAATTGGAGTAAAGTGCTATGCAGATTTAAATTTTTCCCACTTGTGACGAATGCAGCTATCGATTTTTTTCGCATGCTAGTTAACATTTGTGTCAGTCAGATGTTGGCTCTCACACTGACCAATAGAATCTTCTTGCCTATTCGTGGCAGACAGCTATAGGCTCTCACTCTGGCCAGTACAAAATGGTCGCAAACTACAGGAAAAGTGCCGTAGAAGCATGAAAAAATCGATTATTTCCACTATCGATGAGAGTTGAGAAATGCAAAGTCGGTCTTGGCCTTCCCCGCTAACTTGGAGCATGTGCATGTAAATTTTGGTGCAAATCCGTCTAAAATTGCGGCCGTGCATTCGTTACACACACACACACACACACACACACACACACACACACACACACACACACACACACACATCACGGCCTTTTATATATATATATATATATATATATATATATATATATATATATATTTATTTTCCGATTTTCTTTTATATATATTTTATATATATATATATATATATATATATATATATATATATATATATGTGTGTGTGTATATATATATATATATATATATATATATATATATATATATATATATATTTCATTATCTCCTGTTTATCTGTGAGTAAATTGCTGGCTTTTCCTGTCATAAAATGCAGATTGATATAACGTGGCAGTTCCACGGACTTTTCTTTGTTTCTAACGAGATTCCAAAAGAAATTATATTTTCTCTGAATTCCTTGTTTAGCTTTTGGAAGACATCATCATTTGCTATTCCAGTGTGTCTTCGAATTTCGGTGTCACATAACCGATTTATGTCTCATATTTTGTGATGTTCCACTTGCTAGCAATTCATACAATAAACGTGAGCCTTTCTTCGGTTTTTGTTTAGCACCTTGTCAAGGTGTTTTTGAATTCTTCTTTCTGTGGCTGCCATTAACACTCTCTCATTTGACTATCTTATATTGGTAAGATTGTGATCCACCGATAATCAATATTTGACGTATACGTTAAATATATCCGACCAGAAGACGCATCCTTGTCTTACGTACCTTTTATATTTTTGTGTACTTAATTCATTTTCTACTTCGAATAGAGAAATCATATTAATAGAACGCTCATTAAAGATAGATTTTACTGACAATGGATTGTATGACTCGCCTGAAATTGCTGTAAGGGTGTCCAGGTGTAGGTGTCTATGCAGAGCATGTGGTTATTTGAGGCATCGCTTTCCTGTTCTATGCCGACATCAGATATGGGCCCAAATGTCCGTCCATGAAATTAATTAACAATTAATAACGCAAATTGAAATAACAAACGAATAAAATAAACGGAAAAATGTTTTAAAGAAAACAATTCCCTGAAAAAAGAAATGAAACAAGAAATATTAATTCACTTTCAAATATGACGGAGGCAGACGATACTTCTGAATGGAGCGCCATTTTGTTATCGCTTTTCAGACAAAAACGAAACAGTTCTTGAAATTCAAGTTAATTGAATGCTAAAAGAAGACAAAAAATAAGGAAAGAAACCAAACGAGAGAAAGAAAAATAAAGTAAGACAAGACAATAAAAAATAAAGACATTAACAAAAAACAACTAAAAGTGAGATATTTTAAACAGTTGGGACATTGACGAGAAATGATTAGAATTTAATTCTACTTTGAATCAGCATTAAAAACCATCCTGGGTATGACGGTAAACTATATCCAACAGCAAAGCATCTGATCAAGAGATTGGAGGTGCCTGGAACCACCTCTTAATTGCTGTTGTTCCTAGGTCCACCCTAACTCGGGGTTGTAGCACCTGTGAGGGCCCAAGCTATTCCCAAATAGTGAACTTCCAAATAAAAAAATCAACATAACATTTTTATAGTAAAATTACCAAAAGTACATTTTTATATTAAAATTATCAACACTACATTTTTGTAGCAAAATGACTAACAATATATTTTTTTAGCAAAATGAGAATCACTACAACACAAAAAGTATAAAAAATATATTTATAGTAAGATTATCAGCTATACATTTTTAGAAAAATTGCCAACAATAAATATCATCGTGATATTACCAGCTACACATTCTTTAAAATTAACAAGAATACATTTTATCATCTATAAACTTTATATAAAAAGAAAAAAAACCCAAAAACATACATTTACCCTGGAAGTATAAAATCATGTACAAATTATCTATAGTTCAAAATATTTAGACATTTTAGTATTTAGGTATAAATCTGCATTCAGAATATTTCGATTTCGATTAAATAACCTGTAGAGATTGATATTCCGCTAAACAAAACCAAGAAACCAACCTTCAAGAATTTGATGTCGGTTGCAGTCGATAATTTTGAGGAGATATCATATCATTATGGCGTAGAATTATAACAATTAATTGAAAACTAAAAGCAAAAGACAGCAGGGTGTGATGATTCAAGCGAGTCACGTAAAAACGAGAAGAACTTGGCCATGGAAACAAAAACCACATGGGATTACGGCCACATCACGTTGAAATACCGGTTCCCGTACAATTATCGAAGTTAAACAATGTCGAGCCTGATCAGTACATTGATGGGTGACCGCTTGGGAATACCGGCGGCTGTAAGCTCAAAAAAACGAGTGGTATGGCTTACGATCACATAACATTGAAACATCAGTTTGCGTACAATCAGCGAGTTTAATAAATTAATAGGTGACTACCACCAGCTGTAAGCTTGTATGTGCGAGTGATATGGCTTACGGTTACCTCTCATTGAAAACAATTGGCGTGCGATCACCGAATTCAGTCCATTGATGAGTGATCCCTTGGGAATATCTGTAAGTTTGGATGTGCTGGTTGTGGATATGGATAATGGCTCAGATTTGTTAATGGGGGAGCCGAGTTCCAATTCCACTGGGGTTCGTTATATTCACTTACGCGTAAATACCCTTGGAAAAGGCATGAATCAACCTCTTCTCCCCCGGCTATAATCCCTTATTATCTCCCCAGCCAAAAAACTTTTAGAATCTAAAAATATTTTCTGGCTTTAAATAACCTGCAAAGGTTTGATAAGCCGAGGAGACGAATCAATCTATTTATGAAACACTGATTAGCTGCACAGCCATGTCTTTTAGATTTTTTTACATTCCCTGGAATATAAATGTTTAGAAACTACTGTGACCACAAAATGAGGGATCAGTTTATATATTGATTGTAATATAGAATTGATCACCCACTTTATATGCACATTATAATTTTTTGTGTGTTTATCAAATTCTGATTAAGTATGAATCCACCTCTTCTCCCTCCAGCTATGGGTTAATTAGTAAGACTTGTATCACTAAACCATTATTATCGTCCACAAAAATTATTAAAATCTAAAAATATTTTCTGGCTTTAAATAACCTGCAAAGGTTTGATAAAGCATAATAAACGAATCAATCAATCAAATACCTATTAAGTAGTTTTTTCACCTGAATGTCTGATGCAAGTTTTGACGTAGAAAATAATGGATTGTTAGCAGCCAGGAATTAATAGAAGCTATAATCTTTTTTTATATTAAGTAAGCAGAGTATTGGGTTGGAACAAGTGTCAGTAGAGTTTTTAAGTGTATTTCAAAGATAATGATATGATGTTGTTACATACTTGTATTCAAGTCCATATGTGTCATTTTGTTTCACTAAATTTCATCACCTTGGAGGCAGATTTACGAGGTAATCATCCCGTAACTTGGCATCATTCTGCATGATAAACAGGTCTAAATTGCTTTCACAGGTTTCAAGATAATGGAAATTTCCTCCAACAGAGAATTTGGTCGGGTTCGAAATAAATGATAAACAGAAGAATCAAGGTCAGGTGATTATGCTGGTTGTTGTTGGATACTCCAACCAATTTCTACCAATGAGGTTTTCGAGGTTATAGTACCTGTTAGGGTCCCAGTTATGGGCAGATACTGACCCCCAAACAAAAGGAAAACACTATGAAAGCATAAAAAATACATTTTATAGTATAAATACCTTCAATACCTTTTTTCTATATAAAAAAATACTAACAGTAGTAAAATGACCAACAATACATTGAAAGCATACAATTGCATAGAGGTTGATTTGCCGCCAAATGCATCATCTACTATGTATTCTATTGTGAAAGTAGAATGACATAGTTTTATTACACCTCAAAACTGCCAAGAAAATTAACTTTCAGCATTAACTGACCCATAGGGAATTCATATCCCATTAAATAAACAAAACAGACAATTCCGGGTGTCTTCAAAGAGATGTTCGTTTTGGCGTTGTTCTAATGGAAGGCAATTCTCAATTCCGATTAATTCTGACTCTAATCGATCCAACTGGGAACAGTACTGGGTCGAATTCAGCGTCATATTTTGCAGAAGGAATACAATGTCATTCCAATCTTACTCGATGTATCGCATGAGACCTTTTTCGCTCCACATTGTTGTAAACAATCCATTTTTCATCGCCGGTGATCGTTCTTCACAAAAATTAGTTTCCATTTACGTTTGTGTAGAAACTCGCAGAAGAAAAATTCATTTTCTGTGGGTCACATAAATATCATAGCATTCACGTAGCAAGTGTTCCATATGCCTCACAACGCTCATATGAGATTTGTAGATTATCTCTGCGATGTTCCGTGTGGTGTGATTATTTTTAAGCATCGTTCAGATTTGGTCTGTCGGGTCGTATTCGGTTTTTCAGACAAAATTTTCCTCTCCTGAACCGAGCAAAGCAATTTTAATCTCAGCTATGGCACCATCTTCATAATGGGATATATATGTTTTGCTTTTTGTATAGAGTTTTTTTCTTTGCGGAAATAAGAGCATTACATTACGAAAATGCATTTCTGTTTTCACTATTTTCATGCAAAAAACAAAAAACAAAACATTTAAAATTCATAATCTATGCACATCCCCAAGAGAAAAGCGTGTTGAAAGGTTTGCATTATAAATTTACAGTCAAGAATAAATCGAAATCAAGTATTTGAATGTAACCTACTGAAAAAACACCCTGAACTTTTGTCTCAGCCCAAGACATCAACAGGCTACATTTTGATAGTTTTTTAAGACTTAAACAAATTCAGTCTATAACATTAAAACGTCCCATTTTCATAGTTTTAATTAAATCTAGTAATCTAATCTTAGTACATCTAAGATTAAATTATTTTAACGAATTTATTTTTTACGGTTTATCAAACTTTTGCTGGTTATTTAAAGCCAGAAGATATTTTTAGATTGTAATAATTTCTTGAAGATATTAATGATTTACTGATAGAATTCATGCTAATTAACCCATAGCTGGGAGAGTAAATGTGGATTCATACCCTTTCCAAGAGTGTTTGTCTTAGCCTAATGCACAAACAGGTGTTTTTGGTAGTATTTAAAAAAAAAAATATTTAGAATTAAACAAATTCAATTTATTATGCTAAAACGTCCCATTTTTGTAGTCTTTTTAAAATTAAATAATCTTAGTACATCAAAATATTAAAATATTTTAACGAATTTATTTTTTTTTACGGTTTATCAAACTTTTGCTGGTTATTTAAAGTCAGAAAACTGTAATAAGTTTTTGAGATAATAATGGTTTACTGATACAATTCATGCCAATTAACCCATAGCTGGGGGAGAAGAGGTGGATTCATACCTTTTCCAAGAGTGGTTGCGCGTAAATGAATATAACGAAATCCGACTAGAATTTGAACTCCTCTTTTCAATTTCCAATTCCGAGCCATTATCCATTACACCACCCGCACATCCAAGCTTACCCCACTTACTCCGATGCTGTGATTCATCTAGGTACGGAACAGCCTCTTAAAATAGAATAAGTACACAAAATATAAAACAAGGATATGTTTTCCTTTATTTGACCTATACAGTGAGAAGTAGAAGTCCTACCAGGATTTATTACTTGTGGGTCGCAATTCTACCGTTAAAGATATGCAGATGACACCGTGTTGTTGGTAAACACAGAAAGAAAACTGCAAGGAATCTTAGACAAATTAGTACAGGCAAGCGGACATAAAGGGTTAACCATTAATTGTAAGAAGATAGAATATATAATTGTCAGCAAGTGAAATAGCTCAAGATTCTACGTACAAATTGGAAATGGCAAAATTATGGGCAGAATATGTTCGTAACAAATTGATTTTAGGTGAAAGGGGAGCCACACGGCTCTTATACACAGAATCAGAATAAAAAAATGTAACTAAGGAAGAGTGCTAGGAGAATTAGACACTCGTAGTTCGTATTGACGTTAAGAGGGAGAGGGTAAAACAACAAATTGCCTACGTTAGCGTCTGTAGCAATAAAAATGTCAGATTAAAAATTAATTCTTGATATATGGGGTGGCCATTGAAAGACTGAATGATATAAAACAAAAATAAAATGTTTTTTTAATTTTTTATTATTATATTTGGATGGAAACATTTTTAAATCCAGTTTCAGAATCATCTGAAGCGATGGTTTGGCGACGCCTAGTTGAGCAGAGGGACGACGGTTGGGTGTTGATGGATCCTCTGCCATACAGCTTCCACCGCTGCGTCCGTGCGCACGGTGCACTTAGGACCTCTTCCCAAAAGATCGCCGACTGATCCAGTTCTTTCAAACCTGGTGATTGGGTTCCGAATCATGTTATCGCTAGAATATAGCTTGACATTAAAATGTTACCGGTATTTTCTCTGAGTTGGAATTATTGATCTTTCACTGTAATAGAAAAACTCGTTGCTGGGCATCATACGTAGCCATTTTGATCTCAAAGGGATGCTCTATAATCTGCAAATAAATAAATAAATAAAAGACTGAAAAAGAACAAGTTATGACTTTTTCAAATCTTCATTTCTTCAGTGACCACTATATATATATATATATATATATATATATATATATAAATATATATATATATGTTTAGTTGCTTAGTTGTTTGTGTCGATTCGTTAAAGGCTCAAGAATCATTGATTGATGCTGATGCAATTTAACTTTGAAAAATTGATATTTTGTCCCGTTTAAGCAAATTTTCAAGCCAAAAATAAATTTCAAGCATTAAATGTCTTTTTATTTATTTTATATATTATATATATATATATATATATATATATATATATATATATATATATATATATATGAGGGTAAATAAAACATTATCCTCACTTTTGCTATAACATATCATTGTTGGTCACATTGCTATTTGTTCATGTGTGATTATGAATAATGATAACTTATGAATGTGATAACTTGGATAAGTTGGAAAATGATCATTGAATAATATATATATATATATATATATATATATATTTCAATCCTTCATGGTCTTCCAATCCTTAGCTATGATTAATTAATTATAAACATAACATTTTCGCTTATGGTGTATTTCGTCAGGGTTCTTTTCTTAATCTTGGCGAATAATGATACTTTCTTATTGTTCAAAATAAAGTCCAATAGTGTTATAAAAACCTCAGATATTCCAGTAAGATATCTTTAATCATTTCTAAGATACAACAGTTCAAATATTAATTTCAAAATTCGCTGTTACATATATATATATATATATATATATATATATATATATTTGGTTGGATAGATGTGAGTTTGTGACCCTGGGTTTCACGCTTTAGCGA